TCCCAATGACAGAACAAAAGAGTTGAATCCAAGAGATTCATACTCTCGGCCTCTATCACTTCTAATTCTTTTAATCTTTTTATCGAAATGATTTTTCACTTCACGAAGAAATTCTTTAAATTTATCAAAAGCATCACTTTTATTTTTTAATAAATATACGTTTGTGTATTTTGAAAAATCATCAATAAAAGTGATAAAATAGCAGCTACCACCTCGAGTTAAAATTCCTTCAAACTCACATAGATCAGTATCTCATGAATAATTCCCAATGACAGAACAAAAGAGTTGAATCCAAGAGATTCATACTCTCGGCCTCTTTCACTTCTAATTCTTTTAATCTTTTTATCGAATTGATTTTTCACTTCACGAAGAAATTCTTTAAATTTATCAAAAGCATCACTTTTATTTTTTAATAAATATACGTTTGTGTATTTTGAAAAATCATCAATAAAAGTGATAAAATAGCAGCTACCACCTCGAGTTAAAATTCCTTCAAACTCACATAGATCAGTACGAAATAATTCTAGCAATTCGGTATTTTTTGCAATACTTTTATGAGGCCTCTTTGTAATTTTTGTTTTACTGCAAACTTCACATTTCTCAAAAAAAATTTATCACTTTAGGAATTAACCGTAAACTACTCATGATTCCCACATATTTACTATTTATATCACACAAACGAGCATGCCAAAAATTAATAGAAGACAACATGTAAATAGTGCCATAGTAATAATCATCAAATTAATCAGCAAGGAAATTTAAGAGATAAAATTGACGTTTATACTGATCTGTATTATAGGAAGCCACTTTTGCTTCATGTGCCTCGTAGTCTTCATCATTCATCTCCTCGGTTGGGATTTTGTTTGGGTTCTTTTCGGTAAGAACATATGCAACTTTTAAAAGGCTAAGGTATAAAAGAACTTTTCCTTTCCACCTTTTAAAATGAACTCCCTTGAACTTGAAAAGCTTGTTGAGATCTCCAATTCCATCATTGATTTTTTCTAGTACTTGTTCCATGGTTGATCTCCTTAAAATTGTTGGTGAAAATACCAGAAAAAATTATATTTTATTGATAAATAATGCAAAGAAAATGAGATATAAATAGATCAGGCTGAGACACGGATATCTCGTTTTCTTTAAGGAGATCAAGTCCACTGCGGTAGGAAGAACCCCAATACCGATGCAGCAGTCACAAAACTATGACTCGTCCCCTCCAAAATACAACAGCCCAACCACTTGTTGTATGGTTCAGGTCAACTCTGCACAAGATTGTGAACCCAAAACTCCACCAAGAAAAACACCATTCTTTGCTAGTAATCTCTCTTGTATAGAAAATAGTTGGTGTGTGTTGGTGTAAAAAAGAGTAGATGAGAGGGACTATTTATAAGCCACTAGGACCTTACAGTTACACCAAAAATAAAGATGATCATTAAACTAGAGAAAATGGAGAAACTCCAAAAATTAACTCACCACCAAGGTCATGAATTCTAATTAATCTCCATTCATGACCAATATAAGAGGTTACCAAAGTAATGAAACTCCATTTATGACCAAGATGAGAGGTTACCAAAGTAATGAAACCCCATTCATGAACAAGATATATAAATAAATAAATAAAAGATATTAAAATGGTCCAACAGAAACAGATGAATCAAAATCAAAAACAAAAACTCAAAAAAAAAAATCAACAAACCCAACAAAAAAAATCAACAAACCCAGCAACAGACATGAAAAATCTTAATCAACAAACCCACATGAAAATCAAAATCAAAAACTCAAAAAAATCTCACAAATTGCCAAATCTACAAAAATCAAAAAAATCCACAGCAATAGATGAAGAAATAAGAAGAAAAGAAATAGAAAGAAAAAGAGAGAAGAACAGGGGAAGAAGCTGCCATTGCCTGCTGTCCGTCTCTCTGTCGCCATCATCGTCTCTCCGTCGTTGCTCTTTTCTCTGGCCATCCCTCCTCTCTCTCTTCTCCTTTCTCTGTCGCCATCACACTGTTGTTCTCCTCCCTCTTCTCTCTTCCATCCTCTTCTCCCTTCTCTCTTCTCTCAGCTCTCTTCTCCCCTATTTAAAGAGAGGAAAAAGAAAAAAAAAATTCAAAACGATGTCGTTTTGAATTTTGAGCCAATTTGAGCCTCATCCTATTCGGGCTACCAATCTTTTTTGTATTTGGAAACATGTTTAAATTAGTAAAAAACTCAATATAAAAAATTAATTAATTTTTTTTATTTTTTTATACGACTTTTTATAAAAAAATTAAAAAATGATTTGAAAAGCTAATTTACAAATGAACACTAAACATATATGCATAAAATATGTCTAACAAATCAATCCAGTTATTAAGGACCAACATATTTATAATGTTACGAAAATACAATTTGCATGGCAAACTCTCTCATATTTTAACACTTATGAAATCATGCCTAAAATGTAAGAAAAGTAAAACAAGACGTGATCGTTAAACCCCAATTGCACAGAGCAAAACCCCTTCCTTTTTAATATTAAAAACCTTTCTCTACAATAATAATGACCCAAACTTTGGTCTCCAATTGCACAGAGCAAAACCCCTTCCTTCTCTAACATTGCAACAACTATGGACTGGATGATTTGAGATTTCTGAATTTGATTTACAACACCATGTCAATCAACTGAGCTTAAGGTTGAGGTCGAAGTGATCGTTAAACCCCAATTATTCCTCAATGGAACTATATCAACAATGTGTTGTCTGGTGACCACTATCCCATGGTTAGGGATAATCAATTCTTGTGAAGATTATCCTATAGAAGTTGGACTTTCTCTTTGAATGGGTTATAAATCTGCACCTTAGCAATTATGTATTTTGTTTTCACTTCGTCCACAAATTCATTTGACATCCCAAGATCAAACTCTTCATTCACAATCTGGTAATAAATACCAAGCTATGAAGACACTTCACGGAAGCCTTTGATTTCCTAACTCTTTTTTGGTAATGTTTTCCTAACTCTTTAGTTAAGAGCTTTATTTGATATGAAATATTTTAAATTTCTTATAGTAAACTCCAATTTTTATTTGAATATTTTTTTGAAATTCTCATCATATCCCAAGAGTGTCATTTTAGTAAATAAATAAGTTTCAAATGAAATAAATATAATTGTTGATTATTTTAGTCAAGATCGGGTTTCATTTTATTTGGGTCAAAAACAGGTAAAATTCAATTTGGAATTAAAGAAGTGCTTTGAAAGTTTTTAAATTAAATTTAAATTTAAATTAAGATTCAAGTAAGAATTAGTTACCCCAAAACTCACATTCCAAACATCACACAAGCACTCAAAGTGCACAAAATGAGGAAGAAAGTACAAGCTAAAAAGCACCATGTAAAAGGTATGCAGTAGGCATGTTTTGAAAGCAACATATAAATTCTGCCAATAATGACATTTGAGGACTTATAACACATCAAAAATGTTACGGATCTAAAAAAATTAATAAAAATTTTACATAATATTTATTTGGGTGTAAAAAAAAATTATCAAAAATTATATATAATATTCAGTGAAAAATTTTTGATAAATTTTTTTAGGTCCTTAGCAGTGCTCTTAACAATTCAATAACATCGATACCATCCGATCTTCGTAAGTTTACAATGAAATTTATTTTGATAATCTGAATAATTTATATTGTAAAATTTACCGAACAAATCAACCATTCAAAAATCAGATTAGTTGGACAGTCCAACTCTTCTTTCTGTCAATCACTAGATCTTCACTACTTTACTAGCAGACTGCGTTATAGCTTTGGACTCGATGAGATATTGGGTGCATACCCTAGAGTATCTTCCATTCTCTCCTTACCATACAAATGAACAAATAGGCAATCTAATAGATAAATTATGACTTCCTCACCATTAGCAAGCTTCCACAGCCAATGAACTTATGTGATGTGCTGACGATTGTCCAATTAATATTAATTTTTTCATGAATAATTTTCTTGATATATTTTATGAATAATTATTTTGATAAATTTTATAATATAAACGATTTAAATCATCTAAATAAGCTCTAACAAACCCAAGGTACCTCAAGTTGACTACAAAAGCCTTGCCCACCACAACGAAGAGTTCAATGATGATTGGCTACAAAATGCTGTAGCCCCTCTCTCACCATGACCACCAATTGAATTCGATTTTTTATGAATAGTGTAAATAGAAGACATTTTATGATTAATTATTACAATAAACCTTTCATTTTAAATAAAATTTGGTCACACTTCAAATGAAATTCATTACATTATTTTAACCAGTCACGATTTGTTTTTTAATTTTCCTTTCAACTCAAGTGAAAGGCAAATTCAATCTTGCAAAATTACCACCCCACCAAACTTTATCAGCTAAAATGCACATTTCCAAGTTTTGTAAATGTCAAATCCACCACATACCATCACAAAGTCTAATAAAGTAGAATATCTTATCTTCTTTACTTCTCACCTAGAAGATTAACTTGAAACCAATATGAGCCATACACATTTTTTTCAAAGAACAAAAAAAGAATATTCATTTTCACAAAGTACATCCAAATGTAAAAAATATGACCATGAAATTTTGTCATCCACTGACAAGTCCAAAAAAAAAAAAAAGAGGCTTTCCTACCATGGAGTCCAGAATTACAAGTGTGAAATTAAAAACCATGCAAATTATGCATGGACAGTTTGGTGTACACAAATTGCAGTAGTTCCATGATGACAAGGACGAATCGAGGAATGGTAATGACAAACAGCAATAATAGAGACTGTTTTAATTTGGATCGTGACTTTCTGGTTTGGCATTACCTTTAAAATAGAATCAGAATATTATGAAATCCAGGGATAAAGACGCTAAAGATAGGGATGAGTGAAGTCATGGTTATATAGTAGAATCCACCTGAATATTTTGTCTGTAAGAGTGAAATTTTACACAATCAAGGCTGTTTTCACTAGGAACCAAGAAGTAGAAGTCAATATCACATATGGAAACAAGAGAACAGACAAAATCGCATAAGTTGTAAGTCTGGCAGACTGAAATAAAAGTGTAATCATCGAATACCTAATGATTTCCAAGGAACAGCAAGCAATGCAATTAGATAACAGGGACCCAACAGCTAACAAGTTTTTAAAAGCCAAATTCTGATTGTTAACATCAATGATTCAACTTGGTTGATTGACCTTTTTTTCCCCTTTGCAAGGTTCAAAAGCTTATGCAAATTCACACACTAAAGCAAAAGAAAATGTAGATTGAAGGTTCCCCTAAGCATATTTCCTGCATTCCTGGAACATCAGATAAGCACTTTATTCCTCACGAATCCATTGAAAAAGAGTTTCCTACATCAATGCAAAACAACTCAATAAGTTAACAATTGATAAACAAACATAAACACGTTTAAATGAGAAAAATATAGAGTACTTTGCAGGTCCACTCTTAAGGAAACTCTTGAAAAACAATCTTCAATTTGAGAAACAATCTTCAAAACATGGGCATAATATCCTCACCATTAAGCCTATCAACAAATTGGATAAGAGCCGGGACTGGCATAATCCGAATCTGATCTGAAAATGCATCCCGATCTGATTTATTATAATACATTATTTAAAATCAAATTTCACTTTCTTCATTTTTTTTGTTGTTGCGCATTATTTTTAAAATATAATAGTCTTATATATACATAAAAAATTAAAGTATGAAAATCATACCAGGTCGATAATCGGATCAGATCCAAATAAATATCCAAATCCGACAATAAGTGAATCAACTGGATTTGGATTCCAATTTATCGGATTATAGGATTGGATATTCCCCTAACGGATTCAAATTTTTCACGTCGGGTTTGAAATGAATCTGATTCATTGACAGGCCTACTCACCCTGTTGTAGCACCAGCAGATATGCAGGTTTGCTTTAAAAAATGCCGAGTGATTCAAAGTTGAAGGTTCTCTCTCTTGGAAGTGAGATCATGGAGTGGTTAGAATCTAATTCTCAAGCCTATTGTCAGCAGTTATTAATTACCATATATATAACCAACCTAATATTAAATGGCAAAATTAACAAAGGTCGAGACGTACAGCTAGAAGGCCTCCCTAGATAAAGCCAGAGACAGTTTTCTCATTAATAAAACCCTAGGTAAAGGAAAGAAAACTTTAAAGTTGAAAACTGAATGATATCAACCAAGCACTGCCCTGATTCTGGCAATATGAAGTACATCTACATTTTTGTACAAAGGTGACCAATACTTTCCTCACACAGCTCTGCAATATGCCACAAGTATGCTTTGAATTGTGAGTAGTAAGGTGTGGGTGTCAGCTTCTTAGAAAAAGGAATGGGAAGATGCTAAACACTCATCTTCATATACTTTCAAAATAATTACTCAAATATTGACAAGAATACTTTTTCAATCGGCAACAAAAGAAATTTATTTATTAAAACAGTAAACAAGTACAAGAGGTGAGGGACAAGGAGTACACTAAAATCAAGAGAAAAGAAAAACATGAATCCTCACACCCTACAGATAGCACTCAAATTTCTTGAATTTGTTTTTGTAAAAAAATGGAATCTCTTTAAAAGAAAGGACCCCTGAACCCAAAAAAAAGAAGCCAAATAACAAATTTTCTTCCAAATACTCTCAATGTCTTCACTTTTCTCCTAAAAAATCCTAGCATTCCATTCTAGCCATAAAACCCAAAGAATTGCATAATACAACACATCTCCAAAGATCCCAAGCCTTGCCAAGAACAAATTTTCTCCTAAATACTCTCAACATCTTTGCTTTTCTCCTTAAAATTTGTAGCATTCCTTTCTAGCCATAAATCCCAAAGAACCGCACGATATAACACACCTCCAAAGATCCTGAGCTTCGACATTTGAACCAAATCCTGTAAAATCAATGCTTAACACACCATTTCGGTGGAAAAACCCAATCCTGCTCCACCAAATGAAAAACTCTGCACCATAAAGATAAAACCAAAGGACAATACAAAAATAAATTATCCATACTTTCATCGGTCCCTACACATAACACACCATTTTGGGAATAAGTACCAACTCGGCCTGTTTAGCAGAGAATATAATTCCTTGAATGTTCAAAGAAGAGCAAGGCTAGACTTACGTTCGTCTTAAATTACAAGATTTAGATGTAGATGGTGGTATTAGATATATAATGCATAGTTGCACAAAGCGGGAACGGGAGCAAGGGAACATAGCCACTTAGAGGAGTCGTAAATTAGGAGCGCTTATGTATTATTTTTATTAATTATATTTTTAATTTATCTATATAAATTTTTGTTAAAATTTATCACCTACTTCACCCACTTAAACCTACTCCACTAAACCTAACCCACTACACCACTATCACCTCACCTACTCCACTAAACCTAACCCACTAAATCCACATACTCTCCACCTACTTCACCCACTTAAACCTACTCCACTAAACCTAACCCACTAAATCCACATACTCTCCACCTACTTCACCCACTTAAACCTATATATATAAAAATAAAATTATAAAAATTATTATAGATACAAAATAAATTATATTATATATGATAAAATAAGTTATTTTTATTTTAGACATTTATATTATACAATTTTTTTTGGATGAACAATATTATATATTATTATATTAATGTAATTTATATCGTATAATATAAACTTAATTAAAAATATTAGAAAAGAGAACAGAGAGAGAAGAGAAGACAAAAAAAAAAGAAGGAAGAAGAGAGAAGTCAACAAAAGGAGGGAGAGAGAGAGAGAGAGAGAGAGAGGAGAGGAGGAAGAGGGAGATCGAGAGACAAGAGGAGAAGAAGAGAGAGATCGAGAGAGAAGACAAAGAAGGAGATCGAGCAACGAGCGACAGTTGAAGCAGTCGAAGCAGCGACCAAAGGGATCGAAGTTGGTGACCGATGTCTTCATCCTTTCGAATGGCAACTAGGTTCTCTCTTGCTCTCTACTCTTTCATTTCTTTTGTCATTTGTAAAGAGCTGTGTCCAAGAGAGAAGAGTTGAATCCGACGAGAGAGAAGAGCCATGTCTGAGAGAGAACGGAGTTGTTTGATTTTCACAGACGTTTTCATCTCATACCGAAACGAGATTTTCTCTCTTAAGAATCGCGTTTCTTACACGATTCTGATTCGGGAACGCAAAATTGTATTTCTTCCAGAAAATCGTCACCTACTTTAACGATTCTTGCTACTAAGATATAATGACTGCTATGACAACTTGGCCTACATCAAAAGGACCTACAACTACAGAAAATGCAGAAATAAAGAGTACTATGATCTGAGTGGACGCAGGGTTGACAACAAAAGAACAGCTAAAGACAACCTATTACTGGCAATGGAAGATTATGCTCACAAAAATCATTACAACACCATGTTGGACAATCTTTTCCTCTTCCATCTCTTCCACTCGAAAAGAATAAAGAAAGGCTTAATTGAGTGCTTCTGTCCCACCCTTTTGCATTTCGGAGAGCCAATTTTGGGTAGACCTGGGTTACCACGAGCCTAGTAGTAGAATTCAGTTTGATGGCGTTAAAAGGAAGTTCATTCTCAATTCTTGTTGCAGCCATGGGCACTGCTCATGGAATTACAAACAATTCATAATAAACAGAAGAGAAGATCTATACATGCAAAATAATATGATCTCTGACAGACTGGAAGCTGCTGTGCGATATATATGCAGACTATCATTTAACAGAATGTTTATATGTTTGTGTAAGAGAGAATGGAAGAAGTTTCTTGGTTGGCTGTTGGGAAAAGCATTTCTGAGCTGTCCAAAAATCCCACTGAACTGACAAAATAAAACTTTCCATCAAAATTAATCAATTAGATTATTTGCTGAAATCTGCAAGGTAATATAGGTCATGTCAATGTTAATAACCAGCAACTTTGTGGATCTGTTAATAAGGAGAATAAGTTTAGAGAATAAAGTACATTATGTGGATGCTTGGAAGTACGTGAAATAACCTGCTGAAAAAACATGAAAATGGATATGGTATTGTGCTAGATGCACGTGGTTGGACTCACCCAATAAGCATTTCCCACAAACAGATTAGTGTTATCACAATCCAAAAGATCCAGAAGTTGCTGAGGTATTTCTTCTCTATTGCTATGTTACAAGCATATCTTAATATAAATGAACTACCATGTTAGACTTCCTAGCTCCTAATGTAGAAACTTTATTCTACCTTAAAATATAAATGGAGGAAAATTGGATATCTTTACCACACATTGCCACAAATTAGGGGACATCTTGACTCAAATCCAACATGAACTACATGCCAAAGTCCAAATATAATATTGGTGGCCAACAGCAAGCAACCTAGTCTACTGCACTATTTTAGATAATTCAATCCGCATAAACTTAGTTTTGAGAGACCAAGACCAAGACCAAGTACACGATAGGTCCAAAAGAATGAGGAGAGGGGGTGTTTTTATAAGAGGTACATGAGTAAACACCTCTCTTGCACACATCGCAAGAGAGTCCCAAGGCTCAAGGGCAAGAACACTAAATGTTTACCTTCACATGCTACAAGTGATGCTCCACATTTTTTTTTTTCATCGCAAGAGAGTCCCAAGGCTCAAGGGCAAGAACACCAAATGTTTACCTTCACATGATACAAGTGATGCTGCACTTTTTTTTTTTTTTTTTTTTTGTGTCCGAATCAAAACCCAACTAATCCCTAGGGGTGCACAAGCTCTCGGCAAGGAATTTCCCGCAAGTGCACCATGGTTAATTCAAGAGTTATCCCCCAGTCTAATGATCCAAGAGAATTGTTAACACCTAATAGATTTCGATCCCTGAACCTTAAAATAAGCACACCCTAAGACCTAAGGCCTTGTCACCTATGAAGTACAGGTACGGGTAATGGTAATGGTACGATACGAGGCACGTCAATACAGTAAAATTCAAAAAAAATAGGGTACAGGTATAGCTTGGACTTGGTATGCTTGTAAAAAAAAAAATTATTTTTAATTTAGATAATGCAAAAATTAATAAAATTGTTTAATTTGTTAGGGTCCAACCTACAATTAAAATTTAGTGTCAAAAGTAAAGGTATCAATCAAAATTAAATGTTAATATATTAAATAACTTACAAACCATATTTTAATTTTAAAATCATGCAAAGCATAAAACAAAAAATGAAAAGAAAGTCTAGTGAAAGGAGTTTTATCTCTGTAGTAAAAGAAAAAATTATTTGGGCAAATTACATATACCCCCCTTGAGGTTTGGTTAAATTACAGATACCCCCTGAGGTTTGAGAAATTACGAATTCCTCCCTGAATGCTATATTTGCATAAGAAATTAGGGGGTAATTTGTTATGAAATATAAACCTCAGGGGGCAAATTGTTATGAAAATACAAACCTCAGGGGGCGGGATGTAATTTCCGAAACCTCAGGGGGGTATCTGTAATTTAGCTTTTATCTCTGTAATAAAAGAAAAAAATTATTACAACTAAGGTACAATACGGTTTAGGTATATACTAAGTACGTCTAGGTACGCCAAAAATTGAAAAGAAAAAATTTGGGTACGTGTTTCATGTATTCAGTACGTATGCAGAAATACTATACGAGGAACCATACGATGGTAAATACGCGGTACGGGTACGGCATTTTTTCCAAGTACTCATGCTTCATAGCTTGCCACCAAGCCAACCCCTCGGGGTTTACAAGTGATGCTCCACATCAACCAAGCACACACCTTTACATCTATATAATACTTCAACTATTATTAATCATCTAGAATTCAATAAATAGAGACAACATTTTCACTTAGGGGAGCCGATCAATTCTTGGCTTGGTTGGGGCTAGGGCTGTAAATCGAGCTTTGATGCATGTGAACAGCTTCAGATCACTTCATTGGGAACCCTTTTGAGTTTGATTCATGCAAGTTTATTGGTCAAGCTTGAACTTCATTCCAAGCTTGGGTAGATAAAGATCAGCTCATAAAAGTTGATTAAGGGCTCGTTTGGGAACATACTATTTTAGTAACCTTTTGACTAAAATATGAGGTAAAAAAATTAATATGTTTGAAATGACTTTTTGAGTTTTTACAAAAAGATGTACAAAAAGTAAAGAGAAAATGGAATCTTTGACTTTTTTATATAGGTTATAGACTTTTGATTTTTTTTAATAATTTTTTAACTTTTAGGCTAAAACAAACACTCGCCAAATGAGGCCTAAATAACATTTTGTTACCAGCTTAAAGGCCTACTTTCTTGGCTTTTTAGGCTATAAAAGCCAGCTTTTGGGGGTTTTTAGCGTAAAACACCGAAAAAAACATATAGATTTTAAATAGGTGCCAAATAGGGAAAAAGAAAATCCTAACCTTTTGTAATTCAAATTCGAATATTTTTACCTCACAAAATCATTTTTTTAAGCTTCAAAATAGCACCCAAAACCACAACTTCATAAAAGTTAAGCAGCGTTTGGAGTTTATTTTGAAGCTGAAATAAGCATGTGAATTTCAATTTTTGAACTTAAAAAAAAATTTAATAATAATCAAAATAATTTTTAACATACGGAGCCAAAAGTGTATTAGAGCTAGATCATCTTGAAATCCTTATTGAAATAAAACAATAACTTGCCATGACCAACAGTTTCGTTTAGCCGTCATGACGATTTTGAAAGTATTGCATCAAGTATCGAGTAGGCCAAGCCAACTGAAGAGCTTGAGCAGTTCACCGCATAGCTAATTCAAGCTTGAGCTAAACTTATAGTGGCCATCTTCATGTGAGTCAAGTTTTAATTATTATTATGATCAAAATTAATTCCCAAATTGATACTCAGCTCATCTAATCTATGACCTTAATTAGAGTAATCTAACCTTCCACCCCAAAATGACTCAAGGTGGTCAATTCCAGTGTTTTTAAAGGCTCAAGGCGCACTAAGGCGCTGAAGGTCTCTCGGGGCCTAGGCGCAAGGCGCAAGGCGAGGCGCGGGCTTTATTGAAGTAAGGCGCACAGTCTACAAGAATCCCTAGTGCTGAAAATCAGCCATAAACCACCCACCACCTTATCCAAAACACATCCACACACGACCTATCTTATCAAAAATCGACCAACTGATCAAAACATGCATACGGTCTACATTCTCATTTCATCAGTAAACATATCAGATATTAGCATTGCATCAGTGCACATAGCAAGATCTTGGCCACAGCCGATTACACTCTGACCAATACCATTCCCTCAAAACCATGTAGTGATGTGATCCTATACCCTGAATTTGTGGTTTATGTAAGTGACAACATCCAGAACCAGTGATAACAAACAAACCAAAGAGAACACAATTCATGTAAAAGTTCATGCCAGACAATTCATGTAAAAGGTCATGCCCGAGGATACCAACGAGATATTAAACAACATCAAGGAAATCTTATAAGAACTCCACCCTAGAAGCTACAAGTTATAAAAGGCCTGTGCCATAGAACATAATTAAATTAAGGGTAAATTACACTAACCTCCCTTGGGATTAGAAAAAAATACAATAAGGCCCATAGTTTTGACATAATTATACTGACCACTCTTTTAGTAAGGTTAAATGGACCGAAACTAATCCAAATGGTGCAAAAACACAAATAAACAACGTAGAGTATAAATTTTCATGTAAAATAAACAACATTATTTTTTCTGTTCATATAACTAACAAATTATTGACAAAATAGGGGCCAAGTGTTATATAAATTAAAATCTCAAGGAAGCTCAATGTAATTATGTCAGAACTGTGGAACTTACTGTATTTCTCTAAAACTAAAACTCAAGGTCAGTGTAATTTACCCTTAAATTAACCATGTTATTGACACCTTTTCTATCTAAATACAACTACATAAAAAAATATACAGAATCATACCCAAAAAAATACTCAGAAAAGTAGAGGACAATCATAATCATCCTGTGTGTGACCCACATTTTATCAATTTTAAATTTGCACCATATATGTTCAGAGTAATTTGGGGGGCAAAAATTCACCATAGATTAAGTTTTCTGGGTAATTTTAGCATTGTCGTTCTATATATGCTGTTCCAATATCAAAGTTGAACCCTCACAATACCGATTGTTCAAATCAGACAGTATCAATCAAAACCCTAAATTCACAAGTAGAAACAGATAGAGAAGGCTAAATCATTCAGAAACTAGTAATTAAAAAAATACAAAGAAAGTAACAAAGGGATTACCAGAAGTGGGGACTAATTTGGGGACGAAACAAACTTCTCGATGAGCTTCTTGTCCCGTCTCTCCATAGCGACGTCCCACACATCGTTGCCGACGTGCTTCGGCTGTGATTGTCAAATCAACAACAACAAAATAAGAACAAGAAGAAGCAATCGATTTGGATGCAAAAACACACAAAGATTCAATCTGAAAATAAACAAAACAGTTTGGATCTAAACAACAAAAAGAAGTAAATTGAGATTATACTCGGCCGTGAGCGGCTTTGTGGATGTAATACTGAGAATTTCCCATTATGCAAAGCATTCCGGCTATGATCCCCAATGGCAGTGCTGCTTCCAACCATTGCAACCCCATCTCTCGCTCTCTCTCTCTCTCTCTCTCTCTCTCTCTGCGTCTCTCTATACAAGGCCCAGTTTTTTCCCAGTGTTTTATGTTACCGCAAATCACACTTGGATGAGTTTTGGCATAGAAAGCCACATTTTTTAAAACATTTACAAGCACACTCCACTTCTTGTAATTCTGAAAATTACAATATGTCACACAAGAGTTTTAATTTTATAACAAATAAATTTTTTTTATTAATAAATTATTAAATTAATTAACAGTTTTTAATATTGTTAAAATTTTATTTCAATTAATAATTTATATAATTTTATTATTATATAAGAGAACAGTTATAAATTATATTTTTGCAGTTAATTCTGTTAAATAAAAAATTCTGACAAACTCCAAGAGGTTTATTTAAATTACGAATTACTTTCTGTAGTTCTAGAAATTATATTATGTCTCGTAAGGTTTTTAATTTCATAATAAATAAGTTCTTTATTAATAAATTATCAAATTTATTAATAGTTTTAATGTTATTAAAAATTTATTTTGATTAATAATTTAAATAATTTTATTATTATATAAGAGAACAGTTAGAAACTTTGTTTTTCAGTTAATTCTGTTAAATAAAAAATTTTGACATTGAGATATTTGTAATTTTCCAAATCACAAGGGACTAGAGATGGCAATACGAACCCGGCCCGACGGGGACCCGGACCGTTCCACCTCGATAAATAGGGTTTCTCCCAAAAATTACTCCCCATAGAACCGGGATTGGTATTAAAAAATACATCCTTGATATTTTTGGGTCGGAGACGGTGATAGGTTCCCTGGGTCCTGGCCCGCTCCTGCCATGAAATTCCCCCGAACCATCCCCGCCTATATACATGTGTTTAGTTTATATTATATATCTCTCACTCTCTCACTTTCTGACTCTCTCACTCTCTCGTTTTTCTCTCTCTCAACTCTTTCACTCTCACAGTCACTGATACGGTGACACCACTACCACTCTCTCCCTCTCTCACAGCCGCTGATCGCACACCACAGTCACCGACACCACCCACCATCGTTGGTCCAGATTCTAATCTATGACAACATCGACTCAAATGGACAAAAACCTCCAATCTCATTTTCCCCATCGCCGATCTCAAGTCTGCATCACCGATCATCACAAAACCCCATCTCTCTCTCTCTCTCATATATATAAATGTACTACATGTGTGATGATGATGATGATAGTTCCAGTTGTTTGAATCTGCTCTGTTGGTGATGATAATAGACATATCTGTTGATGATGTCGGGGAATTTTTGGGGTCGGGAAAATCCGATCCCCGTTAGCGGGTGAGAGCGATGATAGGTTCCTAGTCCAGGATTGGGGCTGGAGACCGGGAAATTTTTACCATTGGAGATCAGGGACGGAGAGTGTGATCCACGGTCCCACCCCAGCCCGTTGCTATCTCTACGGGAGACAATTCATATTTTAAGCAAACTTCAAGGGATGTATTTGTAATTTATCCAAGCATTTACCTTCTTTGGTTTACATTTTTTTGAAAATTATTTTTTCATTTTTAATAAATTATTTTAATATTTTACACAATATTTTTTATTTTTTAAATACATATAACCTAGATGCATTTAAAAGGTATATAATATTTGTGAACAAAAAAAATTAAAATCCACCGAATACAAAAAATACAAAATTTCACTGATGGCGTTTGGGAAGTGAGTTTTTATGTAGGTTTTTTTAGTTGTAGGTTTTTATTGGATAAAAAATTTTTGGTGTTTGGGAAGATAGTTGGGTTTTTATGTGGTTGGATGTGATGTTTGTGAGAGAAAAAGTGAAATGATTATGGGGTTGGATGTGATATTTTGTTTGGATGTGTTTTTTTTTGATTTTGTAAAAAGTTTGTCTTTTAGTGGAAAAAATGAGAAAAAAATTTGGAACCTAGGTTCCCAAACACCACCATGTTTTTATATTTAGTTGTATTCAATGATTTTTTAAATTTTTTTGTATACTTTTTAAATATATCAAGATTAATTGGATCTAAAAAGTAAACTATTTCTAAAAATTACTAAAAATACAAAAATGCTAATGGAAAATTTGGAAAATTATTTTTGAAAACTCCAATTTCTTTATTCTTTAAGTCAGTCTTATATTGTGTTGAGGAATCTCTCATTTGGTACGGCCTATTTTAGCTTAGAAGTTAAAAGTCATTATATATTGTTACATTATTTTTTATTTTTATTTTTTTGCATTTCTTTTTGTTGAAAAAAATTTTAAAAATCAACTAACAGTTAATTTTCAAACCACTCCTAAAAGTTTTTAAAATAAAATATATATTTTTTATATTCAATAAGATTGTGTTTGGTTAATGAATTTGATGAAAGATTTGAAAAAAGTAAATGAAATGTGACTAAAATATAACGACATTTCACCTACGTTTCACACACATTTTCTCTTTTTCTTTACAAATTCCTCTCCAAATCGATAAACCAAACACAACCTAAAGATAATAAAAAAAATCAATTTTTTTTTATCCTTTTTTTTTATTTTAAATTAGTTTTTCAATCTATTCATTTTATCGGACATTTATATTATTCATATAAAAAATTAGGTCAATCTGATAATTATAATCTATTCAATTTATCGTGTTTGTCTCTAAAAATATAGACGGCAAGTTTATTTTTAAAAATAGACTATCTATTATTATTATCTTTATTTTGACAAGCATAACAAATTATATAAATTATGATTATCGAGTATATCTAATTTTATATATGACTAATATACACAATTAACTTCCTAAAATAAAGGATTCAAATAAGAGTCTGGCTTCCCTCCAGAGTCTCAGATTAGATTATATGATGCTGTTGGGCATGTGGGGCCCACCATGGGACCCATTTCAATAAACCCTTCAATTGGGGTGTTTGGTGGGGCTTTTTTGAGCCAACTTATGGCTTCTGACTTTTAAAAAGTTATTTTGGACTGTTTGATTAAACTTATTTCAAACAGCTTATGATTCTAACAACTTATTTTAAGTCAAAAAATTTGATTCTGAAAAGCTGCTCACCCCTTACTTCTGATTATCAACTTTTGTTGTGGACATATTAATTCACTGTTATACTCTTAGATTTTTTTATTTTTTTTTAAAATAGAAAAAGACCTAAATAGACTATAGAATATTATTATTTTTATTTTTATTAAAAATGTAGACAAATAGTGAATAATAAAAAATAAAAGTTAATTGAAAAAGCTACTGTACACTTTATTTAACAAACATTACTCAGCAACTTAAATCTATAATCTAATATTACACCAAACAGATTAATAACTTTTGATTAAAGTTATAATCTATAATCTGTTAAGCTACAATATGTATTAACCCTGTCTAGTAGAGCTGTGAGAAAGTACTTATAACTTATACTTTAACAGCTTATAGCTTATAACTATGAATATAAACTGATTTCTGACTTATAAATTAAGCTTCTCATGCCCCACTCAAAGAATAAGTTGATTTCTGACTTATAAAATGCTATAAGCTGTATTGTTAAGGTAAACCAAACACATCAGCTGAATTTAAGCAGCTGTACCAAACAGGGCCATTATCTGTTTTAACAGCTACACCAAACAGGACCAATATGTAGAACTCGTTGAATACTATATGCTTGTAAAAAATCACGTTGATCGGATATTGATAATTACGTGATCAAATAAGTTTTGTATAAAAAAAAATGAACGGTGAAAAAAGAATCGATTGACAAAAAATTAATCCGATGAAATAATTATTAATATCTGATCAATATAATTTTTTACAAACATATAATACTCGACGAGTTATACACATTAAATAATTACAAAATCCATAATGAACCTCCACAAATATAACAATATCATCCCCTGTTAGATCGGATTGAAGGAAAAACAGTGCCTTCACATAATTACAACGAGACATATGATAATCTCGCAACCCCAAACATCACCCACCAATTCATATATTGAAAAAGTAAAGTCCATAAATTAAAATGACTAGGCTTCGAAATTCGCATGGCATAGGGGTACAACATAATGAAATGTTACACTGCCCAATCTCTTCACCACATAAAGGAAAAGTCCAGCTAAGACTCCGTTGGCGGGCATCAATTGCCATTGGCCGCATGCCTCAGGCTCAAGGTGTTAGGTAGGGACCTCTCTCCTCCTCCGCCTCTCGTCTTTGGCCCTCCTCAACTCACTGCATGTACCTGATTCCCACCTCACTCCCTCCATGCACTCACACACGTGTCCCCCAACACATTGAGAAATTATCACATACATCTCACACACCACACCACACCACAATGTAATGGAGAATTCTATGACACATTATATGCACCCTAGTTACAATCATTAGAATATTGATGTTATTTATAACTTACTTATAATTCAACCTCCGTTTGAAAAGTGGGTTGGTTTTTTGACTATTTAACTTAGGCTAAAAAGCTTAGTTTGAGAAGAATTTTTTGACTTTTTTAACTTTTTTTGTGCAAGAATAGTGTAATGATTATAGGTTGAATGTAATGTTTTGTTTGTTATGACTAAAATAGTCTATCGTGTTTTTTGTGGCTATTTTAACCCCAAAACCACTTGCCAAACACCACCTCATTATGGTATTAATTTAGTTATAATTATTATTTTGATTATGATAAAAAATATTTATATACTTTATATGAGAAATTATTCAATATTTCCGGACATATCTGTACTCCTTAACCAATTATCATTCAATATGTCCCTCATGTTCTCCAATCACTCAACACAATATCGCACTTACCCACATTCTCCGTAAATCACAATATTATAGAATATCACGTGTCTATACTCTGAGATTACTAAATAATTACACACTTTTTATAGTGTTTGTTTATATTTATTTATTTTAATTATTATTTAAATGTGATTTAATTATGATGATTGTGATCATTAATCTCACAATTTACATCGTAAATAAAATAACATGACCTTATATCTGTTTACTTAAAATAATAAATTTTATAATTTTTAAAATATCATTGTTACAATATTTTTATAATTTTTTTATTAAAAATTATGAATTTGTTGGGAAAATTAGTCTAAGGTTCCT